TTTTTTTTTTTTTTTTTAAATTTCAATTGACTCAACACTTTTGTTATATCAGTTGGCTATTCAGCCATAATTATCAGCTAAAAGCTTGAATTAATTTATCAGCTAGATTTATCAAACACACCCTTAATATATTCAAGTTTCGATAATCCTCTCGTGCAGGAAGATGGTTGGGTGGTTTGCAGAGTTTTCAAGAAGAAGAACCACACCCGAGGCTTCCAACCCGAGCACGACCCAGATGACATCACGGTTGTACCTTTCCATGCATCTGGTGGTTGTACCTCGGTGCAGAACAAGCACATGTTACCCGACCCAAACCCGAACCAATTCATGAGCTACTCATTCGACAACGGAAGTAACTCGACCCACCTCCCGCAGCTGCTCAGCCCCGACCAGGCATTGCTCTCGCCCGCCAATTCGTTTTTGCCCTCCCTCCCAATGGGCCCCACGGCGCTCGACGGGCAAGGGTCTCGGAACCTCCTCGGATTAACTCCGGCCGGCGGGCTCGTGCCGCCGGAGAAATTTTCCGGCGACTGGTCGTTTCTGGACAAGCTTCTTGCCAACCATCACCACCACAATGTGGATCATCCGATGGGGAAATGCCAACAGTTTTCGCAGGTCGCTGACCTGGCACCGCAGCCAGCTCAGCGCTTCCCGTTGTCTTACCATGTGTTCGACTCGGATTTTCAGAGATATTCTAAGTAGACTTCCCTCTTTTTTTTTCAATGTTTGTTTTTATGAATTTTGTGCTGTCCCTGATGGTTAATTGGGGATTAATTTCATCAGCTTTGGAAACTATCAGCTTTTTTTTTTTTTTTCTCATGTTGGGGAGCTGCCATGAAAGATATTTAGACTGCATTGGCTGAGCTTAATTATATGAAGAATGTTGTTGTGTTATGCTTATTGATATGCATCAATTTCGATTTCTAATGTTCAAGTGAAGAATGAAGAAAATTGTATATAGTGTGAAATGACATACTTTAATTTAATGCTGTTTTTTTAATAGTATGATATTTCGATTTGAAACTTCGTATATATCGAAAAAATATGACCGTCTAACCATTAGACCTGCCGAACAAAAACCTTACATGATTGTTTTTTCCGTCTACACATCACATATATCTGATAACAAAACAATAACTATGATTCACATTCTAAGTATCAAACGTACGGGCATACAACTAAACTAACTAATAAACCCAACAATGCACCTGCAATGACTTCCACTTCTGTGTGGCCAATCGATTCTTTCAATGGCGAGGAGCTACTAAACTCCACTTTACTCGTCTGCATCGTCTTATCAGATTTGAGTAACAGTGCAGACTTTGTCGGCTTTTGCTCCTCTAAGAAAACTGGGTCGGTTTTTTCTACATTAGAAGATAAATCTCTCGAGTATGATGTGGTTTGAAGCAGAACTTTGTTTATTTGTTTGGCATGCACCCCAACTTCCCTCCTAACTCCCTAGGAAAAAAAATATGCATCAAGAAATCCTTGAGTATAGAGCGTTAATAATGTAGTAGGGAGATGAAGGTTTTAGATGGAAAAAAAGAAAAAAATTGTCGAAAAAAATCATCATTCGTTAATAATGTAGTAGAGAGATGAAGGTTTTAGATGGAAAAAAGAAAAAAATTGTCGAAAAAAATCATCATTCATAATCATTTTTGGAATTACTCCTGAAAACATGAGAAATTAAGGGGTCGTTTGGGGTTTAACTTCCTAGGCCTGATATAGACCGGGATTTTAAGGCCCAACCGATTGGCCTAGACGAGCCTGCCTAAAGTTTACACCTTTTTTCTTTCTTTCTTTCAATTTATTTTTTTTTATTTATTTATTTTTTTTTTGCATGAGGTGGCTTGAGCTGAAAAAAATAGCGACCGGGACCAAACCTTCGACACGTTTTGATTTTTAAGGATGGGTATTTTTTCTCAGCAAAAGAGACTAGCTTTGGGTACAAACCTGTGCATCATACATGATGAGGCCGGCATAAACTACAGCTAGACCAAAAACTGAGTCTGAAAATCCCCTGCAATTAGAAACATTAGAAACAGTTCTCAATTCACTCTCACCTAAAGTTATTTGCGCATTTATTATAAAAAATCGATGCCACAAGATTTTGTTCTCAAACAAAATTTAACCAAAGGCATAATTTAGTAGTCACCTCTCAAGGGCAAGAGAAGTTGCACATGCAACAGCAGCCTGGGATTTGGAAACAAACGACACACAATTAGATCACGACTTGTCATCAACGTAAAAATACATCCATTCACTCAGTTTATTACTTTCGAAAACCTCAATAATCTTTTCAAAATTAAGTTTTGAAGCAATAGACCTATTGATACATCTCAACTACATAACCAACTTTCTTGATACTTATCTCATTTAGACGATTATGCGTTCAATAGTCATACTTCTCGACTAAAGTTTCAAACTTTTATGAGGGAAAAAGGCAGTACT